AAAAAGACATTTTGAAACACATACCGAACGATAATAATTTTTTAAAATATAACAGCACAAAAATTAAAAGGGAACTCGAGTACATTTATCGAGAGCCACAGATAATCCTTCAAAGAGCCACATGTGGCTCGCGAGCCGCAGGTTGCTCCCCCACTGATCTATTATTTAACCCTACGAAACTTAAACTACTTCGAACAAAAATATGTTGCTTGATGTGTGAAATAAAAGCACTTTTGTATACAGTGTGTCCTAAATTCATACACGCCATTTAATTCCCTTTGAACGAAAGATTTTTTTAAAACAAATGGGATACAAATGTGCAAATGGAACACCGGTGTCTCTTATTAATGTATGTTACTGTGAATGACCGAAATTGGTGGTTGTTGATTTCCACCGGAGAATGTTGACAATCACATAGTCACACTTGGTAAATACCCGAAATACATACTAGGTCTAGTTAAGTGTCACTGCCTGGTATACATTTGCCCGATATACCCTACATTGTTTTTTAAGGTTCAGTGCCACTGTCTGGTACTTCGAGCACTGATGTTTCTTCTAATCTATCCTCAGCAGATATTAAAATATCTAATAAATATAATATCCACGAATAAATTAATATCAAATTGGAAATAACAAATATTTCGGACATTCACCGGTGAAAGTAGACATTCTCTTGATTTCTGTCATTCACGGTAACATATATACAGGGTGTTCCAAAATTCTCTTTACAACTTCAAAAATTCATAACTTCGAAAATAAACAAGATATTTATATTCTGTCTTTTGCATGTATTACTGCAACTAATAAAGTTTTGTTTAGTACACTTCAACATGCGCACCATTGGTGGCCCTAAGCACTTCCAGTCTGTAATCAATTTCAAGCCAGGTGATGTAAAGATAATTTTGGAACACCCTGTATTTTTCTGGCACTTTAATCACATGTAAAAATATAATTTGGCATTTTTCAATTTTGAAAATCCATCTACTAAAAAAAAGTCTGTTAGATTATTGCAATTACATTTGTACTAAAATACAAAATGCAATAAAAATATTTCGAACATTTTTTTCCCTATTCATTATCAAATATTCATCAATAATTGATTAAGGAAATTTCAATGACGCGAATAATCGTTTCTCTTTGATTTAAATAACTGCAAATTTGAAAAATTATAGTTTGGAAGTGAGCCGTGTTTGGAAGATTTTAACCTAAACGCAGAAGAAGACGCCGGTGTTTCATGCTCTATTTCATAACCATAAATTATTAAAGCGCTGAATGTAATATTTCTCAGTTTAGTTGACCTAAATAATACAAAATAATGAAAAAAGGAGGAAAATATTTTTAACAAACATTCTGCGTCAAAGGGTTAATATTGAAAGTGGTAATAAATTTTACGAGGTATAGGCAAATTCATGCTTTATAAATGCTTAATTCGATATAACTTATTCTAACTATGCGTTGGAAATATGGAAATCAAAGCGCAATCAAATTATACAAATAAACATGCTTTCAAAACACAGTTAAGAGTGTTTAAAAGTTAAACATGTCAGACAGAAATGTAACTCGTGCTATCTTTTACGATGTATATCATAGAATTATTAAAAAAAGCATATTATTTCGTAGTCCTACTGGAATCCTAGACTTGGCGACATATTCCGATATTTAAGAACATTCGTTACAGCTTTATGACGTTGCAAGAGCATTGGATTTGATTGGACGACTAAAAATGGCGCGTCATATGCTCGTAACAAATCAAAGTGAAAAAAAAAATCGTTTGCCAGAAACAATTATTATTATTCTTTCATCAGTTTCTTTAAATGCGAATAGAAAGACATATATTTGTTCGGTATTTAAGATATCTTTTTTAATAAGTATTGCTTGTTAATTGATTATTGTTGCTAATAAAAAGGCAAGAAAAAGAAGGTTGTGTAACGTCGTTTACAGAGTTGGCGATATTGATATATGTTAGTGCTGGGAGCTTTGCTTCCATTTGATGTGCAATCAGACTTTCTCCATAGGGATAATGGTTTTTTCTGAACTTAGAAAAAAGTATAATTATGTTCAGCATAGAGACATACCAAACTGCATATTAAATTGCTAACTTGTAAGCTCATAATTCCCCCCCCCCCTCCAAAAAAACAGTATGTTTGTTTTATTTCGTTATGAATTATTGTGATGTATTTGAGTGAAATATGATAAATTCTTTTTGTAAATCATTCATCATTCTATAGTGTTAAGCTATTTTTTTAACATCTGACACTTTGAGCAGCTATACTTGGCAGCAGTTTGCTACGGAGAAATATAAAATTTTAGATTCCAGAGTGTAAAAAAATGTTTATGGACTTCTGGAGGGTTCTTCCTCTGCATAGTTGGTATTTCAGAAAACGCCCTGGATGTGTCTTGCTTTTTGAGGGACTTAGAGGCCAGCAAACTTGTTTCTCTCGCTTTGCAGTGGTCACTTGAGGTGTCTCTCGTATGTTCAGGGACGAAAGACTTTTGGACTTAGCACTAAATGTAGGACTGCTCCGGCTTCATCCGAGCATATTCTAAACTGTATCAATTTTAAGATCGGCGAGGTTTTTTCAAAACCTCATCTGTATTTAGACTTTCTCGACATTTTTGAACTTATGGATTTGGTCTAGTTAGAATGGACCTCTTGGGGATTAGAAACAACAACAACATAAAAGTTTAACCATAAAACATTTATAAGGTTACCACCAAGCTAATCTGCGGATTGGTAATTCATTAAAGTGTGGAATCAAAAGTTTACTTAGATAATGAGGGTGCGTAAGCGATTTCTGTATCGTTAAAGTTAAAAAATTTGCTTTTCTTATTCTATTAAGCAGTTTCTTTACTGTTTGATTGTATTTATTGACTTGATTCTTTAGATATTACGTAATGTTAATTGCCAAAATTGTAATAATATTTCAAACCGTTTAATTCTTTGTATTATTGTTTTTAAAGTGATTGATGATTGATTTTATTCGCTAATGTGATTAGTTTTTATTTATCCAAAAATAAATAGCGCATTATGTTTATTTAAGTGTAAAGAAACGTTGCTGTTTTGTTCCAGCTAAGATCTTATTTTCACTTTAATGAGTGATTTGTAGGTAATGTGCGTATTAATAAGATAGTTTTTAGATTAAGTAGGTAATTTAAAATAGGAGACTTTCTAAGTACTTTAACGAATCATCGCAGTCAATCTGCCCATTACCTATACAATCTTCAGAATTAGTGATTTCTGCACTTAACATATGCGGCAACATATGTTACACACAATTTAAAATCTAGAATTAATGACACGTTGACGATTATTTATTATATATTTGGCACACGAAATATTTTGTTATCTGGACTCAGAAATAAGGTGAACCGACATTTTCTTCTCGAATTTGCGGTCATTTCTGTCATCGCTGGCCAATTGACCGAACGTCAGAATGACAGAGATAGATGCTCCATCTCACATAACCCGACACGACAGATAATCTGGAAATGTTGTCATAGCAACAGAGTCACATCTCTTCTCTTTTCCAATCATTCTTTTGCTGCATCCTTGTACCTTGCTTCTGTCCCCCCCTTTTTGGGAGGGGGGGAGTGCTCAGAAAAGAGAGAAATTACACATCAGGCAGCATGATTGAGGTCGAAGGAGGTCTCGTCGTGTTCCTTTTTGTTTAGCGTATTTGTATTGCTCGCGGAATAAAAAGTTTTCGGTACAGGATTTATTGATAAAATAGACTTACATTTTTAGGCAATTCTTTGGAAAATTTAGAATAAATATTTTTTGCTCTAGGGATGTGTCAAAAAATTTAGGAATGTACTTTATCAGGTACGCAGAGTTATTAGTCATTTTTACCAGCTGTTATCAGTCTGTCTAATAAGTTATTAGTCAGTCTATCAGTTATTTTTCAGAATTTCTAGCTAGAGTGCGGATTAACTTGATTGATTAGTTAAAGTGCCAAAAAAATTGTCTCATTTCTCAAATTGGCTAGTTAATCAGAAAACTACCTAGATAATCTGCACAATACCTACTGGGCATTCGTTAAAGGGAAAATAAGATCTTTGCTCGGACAACGACAAATTTTCTGAAGAAATTGATTTTTAGTGAAATCATATTGTTTCTTTAAGACAAACTTTATTAACAATGCTTACAATTCACAATTGGTCGCATCTTTTAATTATCATTTTCGAGTGGAGAAATATCCAAATCTATAACATTTACAATGGGATTATGCTAACTAAAGTAAGATACAAAATGCTTGAGTTCTATTTTTTCAATATTTCTTGCAAAAAATGCATCAATGGTAGTTACCCCTTTGGTTGTTGGATCATTCCTACCACTTATCATTTCCAATCCAAATTTGTCTTTAAGGAAAGTTAATAATGTTTCAGCTTCAGGTAACGAGAAATTCACATTAAAATCTCCTGCAAGGACCACAGGCCGCTTACAATAATAAATTTCTTCACCGTCTGCCAGAGCTTGTGAACCTGCAGTGGATAGTGGCAATAAAGATTTTGCAATAAATAATTTAATATCCCTCATGGCTGCATTTGGTGAAATATAAATGGCAATTAGAAAAGAGAAAACCTAACAATCAATTGATATTCACAAGAGACGTACCTTGACATAACCTTAAATCCGTCGCATTGTCCGTGGGATTGTTTTCACTCATTTTTTACAATTGTTATCCACTAAATTTGAAAATAAAAAATACTACCCTATTAAATTATATGTGTATCAAAACAAACTAAAAAAATATTTATAGAAAAACAATACTTTTATGATTTTTATGCTAGTGAGAACCAAAACAATATGGAAATGAATGAGGGAAAACTGGATCCTACCACGTGATTTCCCGGCCAATAAAAATGTAGCGTTAAACGTTTAACGCAACCTTGTTGGAAGTCGCATAAGAAGTATCACTTCAAAAAATAAAGAAATAGTCACGTTAATGACATGACGCCAGAAGTGAACTTCAAGACTTCCGGTAGAGTTTGTTTATTTTTTTGGATAGATGATGAGTACAAATTAAAAAAAATGACATCAACTGCTTATTAAATGCAAAGAATAAGGTAATTTTTACTTTTACAAAGTGTGTTTAATTGTGAAATAAATAGCAATATTTTATGCATTTAATTCATTATTGAGAGGAAATCATGAAGAATACTGAATTAGGAAACACAATAACATTTAACGTTTCTAAGAAAGAAGTTCTAAACTTAGAAGATGTTAAAGTCTGTTGCAGAAAACTTATTTCTATGGGTTTCCTAGTTGCAGTGAATAATGGTGAGATATCAAAAGAGGTACTCAGGAAATCAAAAATAATTGTGTTTTTGTGCCCCAGAGAAAATTTCACATCGGTGGAAATCAATTGCCTTCGAAAATATATTATGAAAGGTGGTAAAGTTTTGGTTACGGGACACGTAGGTAAAAAAACTTCCAACTTGTTTATCTATCTCAAAATGTACGGAATAGACTTTTTCAGTGATTGTGTAATTAGAGTGCAGCGGCACCCAAAATACCACGATCCTAAAGAATGCCAGATTTCTGATGGAATCGCCAACAAAACCTTGTATTCGTTGGTTTATTGTGACGGTGGCGATGCTTTATTACCAAAACAATTCCCTATTTTGTATTCTCATGGGTGTACCATAGACATAAACCAAACAAACATCGTATTGTTGTCGACTGGTAGTGTGTGTTATCCTTTCCATAGACCCATTTGTGTGATTTGCCGAAACATCTCAAATGGTGGAAGGGTTACAGCTTTTGGGTCTACTTTGGCGTTTAGTGATTCTTATATTTTGAAGGAAAAAAATCTGGAGATATTTCATTTGTTGATTACAATAATGATTGATGATACTATTGTATTAAATATAGCAGATATTCAAAGTCCTGATGTTTTGGAGTATGCTGTCATACCAAATATTTGCTGTTTGTCTGCATTGCCATACACATGTTTGCAAGAAGTTGATCATATTTCTCGCAATCTGCTCCAAGTTGCTAAACCACCGCTTTATCAATTTGATAACAAATTTTTCCCTAAAATATTATCAGCATATAAAGAAATGAATATGATACGGAAAGAATTAACAATCATCAAGCCAAAGTTTGAAGTACCTTTTCCAGAAATACAGCCAGCTTTTATTCCACCAAGATTTAGGAGTTTGTCAATTCCGCCATTAGAACTGATGGATTTGGACGATTTTTTCGTTTCGCCTTTAACTAAACTAGAACAACTAACTAATAAGTACTGTGACAAGGAACTAGAGTATTATATAAAAGCATGCGTTGAGAATATTTTGTTATTTCCAAGTTGTACAGGAAGAAGTGCAAAAGATATTTTATCTCAATTTTTACAAGAATTAGTTCTTTTCAAAAGTAATTGTTTTTAAAAATGCTTTTGCGCGAAATGTATGTTGCCGANCCCCCCAAAAAAAAAAAATAAAAATAAAAAACCTTAATATAATAAAATGTAGAAAAATTTATGAAGATTTATTTAAATTTTCGATATTTCCCTTTCTTTGTAGATGTTCTTGAGATTTGGTTTTCATTAAAAATATTTGAAGTGGCCGTAAAATTTTTGAAAAAAAAGATATTGAAAGAAATATGAAATCTAAATGTTGAAAATAATTTAAGTGGTTGAATGTCTTAAATGGGATTTTGAAGGAAAAAAATACTTAAAAAACATGGAAACTACAACGTTGAAAATAACTGAAATGTGTAAAGGTGCGGTATTTAAAAAAAACGAAATGTTTTAAAATCTATTGAAACTTTAAAAAAAATAATTGAAATGAAGGAAGATTTCAAGTGGTATGAAAAATAAATATTTATTTAAAAAATATTAAATCTTCAACGTTAAAAGTAATTGAAGTGTATTAAGGTGGGGCAATTTTTGAAAAAAAAATTAAATATTGATGCTTTAAATAAAATAATTGAAGTTAATAAAGGTTTTTAGATAGAGTTTTGAAAAAGTTAAAACTTCTCAAGAGAAAATACTCAATTCAGTCTTATTTAACTATACAGCATTAGTTTATTTTGTCAAGTCACAGCAAGTCCGAGATTTCTGTACATGAAGGTACTAAGTTACCTTATGTGAGTTTTTTTTCTTTCAGTAGAAGAAAGTTTCAAGCACATTTGGCAGCAAGCAGTCGGTAAATAACCTTAGAAACTTGTTATTTAACAGAAAACTGGAAAGCAAAGAGTACAAAACCCATGATGTGAAAAGTTTAAATGAAAGTTAGGAGTTTATAGATTTCGCCCATCGGACGTTATAAGGAAAGAAATAAGGGCAAGATATATTCTTTTCTTCCTTCTGTCAACATATGAACTTCAAAAATAATTAACGCAACTTGGAGGTTTCACCCCCTGCTTGCTCCTCTCGTCAACCCCCGTAATTGGATTTCATTCATCATTGTTTTTTTCTCCTTAAATGTCAATATTTTTCACAAAAGTGCAGAACATTTTGTTTTCAAAACATGCAATTGTTATAGCTTTATGCAAGAATATTTTGCTCTTATGATAATCGCAACGAAATAGTCGATTACCTAGATTTCAAAAATAATCATCAGTGTGGGGAAAAATTAACCTAAGGAAGATAGACTGTGGTCTCGATTAGGAGAAATAAATGAGGAGTAATTTTACTCGTTGACGAGATTTAAAACAATTAAAATAGGGAATAGTTTCCATCGCTTTTTATCATTATTATTTTTTTAAATTTCGTTATAATTTCGTGATTAAAAATTACAAATTGGAATTTCGAAGCTAAATTTGCGTCAAGTTCACAAACAGAAATGACTCTTTCAGCGCGTCTAATTTTAACTCCGTAGTTGCATTTCAACAGCCTACAGATCGACCAAACATAATATTTCTTCCCTACAAGTTTACAAGTTCTCGAAACAATTTTATGCTATTTTATAACTGTTGTTGAACAGCGGACCCAAATTTGAGTTTACGTCTACCGATGTTAAACTCCGTAGCCTTGTAATTTTGAACCCAATCCAGAAGACAAGGGGTCCCGCAGTGGACTGATCGTTAAGACACGGTTCCCAGCAGATCACCGAAGCGAAGCATCACTGGCTACGGTCAGTGTGCGGGTGGGTGACCACTTGGATCAGTCTGCGTAGGGACCGAGGGTGTGCGGTATTGGTCCTCGTTAAACTGTTCTACCATAAAGTGCTCGACTTCGCGTGCAGGTGGTCGAGCTACCGAAGCGGGGATGCCATCCCATCTGCAGAGGATCAAAATTGTGATGGCATGTCTTCGGATCATCCTCAGGGATGTCTCCCAGACCGTCGCCAATAGCCCATTGTGCAGCTCTAAAGCGACGTAAATGAACTACAACAACAACAACCAGCAGATAAGGGAACTCCTGTATCAACTATTGGAAGAAATTTGCTTTTGTGGGAGATTTTTTGGGGGAACTAACCCGCATTTGCATTACACGGAAAGGAAAACCCCGAAAATTTCCCACGGTTAGCCTGACGGCGAGAAGATTCTAACTCATGATCCTTCTACCAAGGATATTTTAAGTCGTCACTGTAGTCGGTGCGAGCCGGATGCAGAATTCGTATCAACCAGCCATCGCTGGGAATCGAACTTGGTTTCACTTCATTGGGAGGCGAACGCACCATTCCCTGAGGCACCATGACTTTTAAGAACTATATGTCGAATCTTAAATTTTCGTTCCCTTTGCTTTTTTCTTCATGCTTCCTTAATTTCAAGCTTCTAAACGATACAGATTTCGTGCAACAAAGCAAAATGTAACGTAAAGAACAGAAAAGAAAACGCAAAAAATACTTAAAATTGGAATTTTTGAAAAAAAAAAGGCTTTGTTAAGTTTATAAACAAATATGACATGTTCAGCATATCATATTTCAACTATGTAGCTGCATTCCTTCGGCTTGTCGAGTGGCCCGTTTGTTGCTTTTTCTTACAAGTTTAACAGTTAATAATTCTCGAATGTTTTTTTTAAATTCCAGTGTACCTCATGTATATTTTTCATACACTTTCGTAATTTCAAGTTTCTAAGTCTTATAGCTTTTGCGTAGCAAAGCAAATTGTAACTTTAGGTTAAACTATGTTTTTCAGGTGAAGTAAATAGGTGCTAAGTTTTTTCCACTAGTTAATTTACCTTAATTTAAAAAGGATTAAAAATTTCTTTTTCATTTTTAAAATATTATTTTTTAAGAATGTAACTCATGTTCTTATTGAGCAAATTATTGATTCTACGTAAATTGCTTAAAATTTGCATTCATATCAAAGCAAAAAGCATTATTTTTTTTAAAACTTACCGTAAGTTACAATTTAGTATAGAATGAAATTTTCCATTTAGCGTAACAATAAATATGTTGTCATATTTTTTTATTGTCTGCTGACTATTTTCAAAGAAAAAAAAAACGTTATCTTTATAACTAAGTTTTACTGAAATCGCTGCCGTATCAATTTATTTCTATTGGAGTGTTTTGCCATCGAAAATTTGACCGATTCTCGACTAAATAAGCATGCTCGAATTTCAAATGAGGCTTTATGTTCGACAATAATACAAGTTAATATTGTTATGTTAAATCATTTTGTTCTTGTTGTGATTGTTTATAAAGCCCCAATATCTTATGTAATTATGTACTTCATAATAAAGAAGATAGAAAAAAACGATAAGTTTTTAAGTTACAAATCAAACGTTGTCAGAAGTAATATATGATGTAAAAACAAAAGCGAGGAATAGAATGAATGTTTCAACACCACCAGAGCCAGAAGAAGCTACACTGTGTCTCAAATACCATACAAATGTTATTACCTGCTTACTGTAACAAATTCAAGCGGTTTTTCTAAAATATGCGCAGTTAAAAAAAGGAGAAGGAATGGGTCTATGAACCAGTATAGTATATCGAAAGAATATAAAGAAAGGAGGTAGGAAGTTAAAAGTCGGAGAAAACAGAAAAACGAGAGGAAATAGTTTGAGTAAAGATCATAGCTCGGGGTCTTGGAATTCTTATTTATCTGAAGAAAGTTCATTTTCTATTTTCTCTAAAATAATTAAAGCTCCTCTGCGTCTTTAACCTCCTTGGACTAAACATCCAACATATTGGACAGCAATTGGTATTATTTTATCACTTAAAAAAAATGTTTTATTTTTTTCCTGTTTCTGTGCTTTAGTAAAGTAATTGTCTATGTGTAAATATAATTGGATTTATCCTGGCTAGTCGGAGCTTTTAATTAAGAGGAGAAATTTTAAGTTTCTTATTATTTGAGTCTAATGGATTTTGTTTCATGACCCTATTGCCTTATAAAAATATTCTTCAATATATAAAAATGCTAAAGATCAAAATTTATGTATTTTTAATGTATTATTTAAAAATAACCGAAAAATAGTTAAGTTTATTTAATGAAATTTTGCATAAAAAATATTTTTATCGCGAGTTTATTTTTTTAAAGCATTTTACTTATTTACAAATAAAAACTGCATCTTTTCTGGTAAAAGTTATCAGTTTAAAAAGATTTAATAAACTAAATGAATAATTTAAAGGAATCAGCTGGCATTTCATGATATTTTAAAAGCTGTTTCACCATTATTTATCTATTTTCTAATACTAGTCAAAAATGTAAGAAATAGAATTAGTTAAGAGAAAATGAAGCAGTTTCTTAAAAATAGAATTGATTTATTCTGTTTGTAGTTCCAATTAAAGAAAACAAGCACGTTGAGCTTTATCTAATTTTATCATCAGCTTAGGGGTTTCTGAATTTTCTGGAAAGAAGACTTTATTTTGGTTTTAGTTAATTGGGTTTGCTCAAAACGGTTTGAACAATACAATGAAAGGTTCAGTTATTAAGATAACTTATAAAACAAAATTAAAATTTAAGTATATACATTTTTTATGAACATTATTTATTCAATAAAGTATGGTTTTAAAATATTTTTATATAGCTAAATACCTGTTCTTTGTACGAGGTAAAAAAAATTAGTCATTAAATTTGTGTTAATTAAACCTATGAAATTATGCACAAAACTCAATGGTATATACAGACATTACTGACCCTTTATAGGGACATTTTTTCTTGCATTAATGCTATGTTAAAATGCTTTTGCCTTTTAGAGTGATTTATAAAAAGTTAATTTATTTTATAAAATTAGTTTGATTAAAACCATATTTTTTGGTAATATTTTCGAAATTTCATATATTTTAAAAAATTGGCCATAAACTTGAATTTCTGGGCTTGCAACTAACCAAATTTTTACATTTGACTATGACCTATGAAATCATGCACAAAATTCATACAGACAAAACTCATACATACGCAATTTATCCTTTATAGAGACATCTTTCCTCCAGTTTGTTACGCTGAAATACTTTTGGTTTTTAGTGTAATTTATAAAAAAGTTCATTTAACTTATAAAATTAGTTTGATTTTTAAACCATATTTTTT